AAAGAGGCAAACCCTGCCAAATGGGCCAAAGCCAGGCTACACAAAGAAGCTTCCTGGAGTGCAATTATAGGGTTGCCAGGTGTCCGGTATTGGCTCGGACAGTCCGGTATTTGCGTCCTCTTTCCAGCAAAAAAAATCCAGAAAATACTAGACATGTAAAATGTTTTTCTCAGACAGAAGGCCTCTTGGGACATTCCTCCCCTGCCGCGTATGGTGAGCAAGGGGATTTTGTGTGTTTTTGGTCTCCCCGTTTTTTGCTTTTTTTTGCTCAATCAGTTTTTTTTTCCCCTGTCATGTTCGGTATTTGTCCTGAAAGTATCTGTCAACCCTATGCAATACCCACCCACTTAGCAAAACCATTCTTGCTCAGGCGATTTTATAGTGCAATCTGTGTTACTTAACTACCATTCGTGTACAATGCACATAACTTGGTATACTACTTTTAAAGCACCAGTTAACAAATGATGTGGCTCTCAATAGACATCTAAGCTGTGCCATCTATACTATATTTACAAGCACAAAATAACAACAGCCAACTCATAGGACAGAGAGTAAAATCCTGTACAGAATAAATTTTGCATTCTTTAAATGTGTAGCAGATGCCTTGGCACCTTATAGAAGTTGATATAGTTGGTGCTCTTACTAATAGAGCCGATCCCCGACTTACGAACAAGTTATTTACCAAGCACTTGGTCGTAACTCGATTTGTTCATAAGTCGGACCCCATTCATTTCAATGTGGCCATGTTGTTTGTAAGCATGGATCGTGTTTGTAACTCGCTTAATGGGAGTTGGTCGTAACTATGAACGATTGTAAATCGATGCGTTCGTAACTCAGGGACCGGCTGTACTGTTCTGGAAACACTGAAGCACAGATCTGTTTAAAGTTCTCTAAAGCTTTGAGCACCCTCTGTCGGATTTTGTAAGATATTGCCTATGAAACCTAGGCATTATTTGATTATCTCAAAGAGGGGTAGCAGTGGTAGTCTGTAACTTTAAAAACAAGCGGTCCCAAGCTCAGCTCCTCTAATGAAGTGGGTTTTGCCCCAAAAGCTCATGATATATATATATATATATTTGTTAGTCTCTAAGGTGCCACAGGATTACTTGTTATTATTTGATTATGTGACGGGATCACTCTCAGCTAAATATTTGGGAAGCTGCCACTGAAATCTGAGCTTTTCAAATAGTTTCTGTTAAACTTTATTCTATACATGGAAAAGGTTACAATTTGTTATACACAGGCAGACACCGCCTTCAACCCTGTGACTCTTGGCTTCAGAAGCAAAAGGCTATAGGAAAGCAAACTGCTTAGATTTTTTAACTGTGTACATGTCAGACTAAACTTAACAGATCACATTCAGGCCCGATAAAAATGGCAGCACCATCATTGTGCTAAATTTCAGTGACGCACCTCAGAGTATTAAACAATGTTGATTTGTATCTTTAAGCCCCTCAGTAGGGATACCAGTTTGGACTCCTGATACTTACAGACTAGGCTGCAATTACACACTTCTCATATCAATGCTGAATCTGGCCCTGAATTTATGGATGTCTAAGTGAATGTAAATTTAAGGTGGGCTAATTTCCATGCTGAGGGAGCTACCAAAAAGTTGCAAATTATGGTAAGTTAGACTGCCTTTGCATATACTCAGCTTTGAATTTGATGCAATGATATCACCAAGCCTGAACTGAGCTGCCTCATTCTGTACAATCAGACTTTATATTGTTAGTTACTAGGCCCTAGGCCTGGTAATTCCTTACATGCTGAACCTGAGTATTTCAAATTGCTGTGGAGTTTTCCTGCGTGACCTCACTACACCATCCCACAGTAACTCTGGTGTCTCATGCTTTTGTTTAAACGAATCATCTGGATATGAGAAAGAAAATATTTATTTAGACCGACTCTATCCCTTAGAAAACTGGGAACATCAGTACCTAGTGTGTGAGTCCTATCATGTCCCACATTATGAGTGTTGATAATTCCCTCCAATTATTAGCATAACCTCTCCATATGTCCCCACTCCTGATAATTCTTCCTTCCTCTGGTGTGTGGCGCTCCTGCAGAAGCAGCCCTTTAAGCAGATCTGTTGCATATACATTAGACTGCTTATAACTCTTGCCTGACAGGAAGTTCACTCACTTCCTTCTATCAGGAGCACAAAGGAGAGAGGAGACTGGTGAAGGTACCAGTATTAATCCTGTTTTTTGGTGATTAGATGGAGATATGATCAAAGCAGGATTTACTTGAACCATAGAGAGATGGGAATATTTATTTTGGGCTGGTTTGTTTTTCTGGATTTTTTTTTTACTATTTTGCCAGACAGTTAAGTTATAGAAAATGGTTTTTGTCCTCCCTAAAACTGGAGTATGAAGCTGGAGATGGGAAAGACACTGACAATTTTTGTTGTGTGTTTCTGAGACTGAAAATGTATTAGGGTAGGATTGTACCTTCTGTGTGTGTACAATGCCTAGTAAATTGAAGGCTGTGAGAAAGGGACTAAGAGAGAACTCCCTCCCCAAAATACAAACACACACACAACTTCTCTCTCTCTATTGGTTTACAAAGTAATGACAAAAGCCCAGGGGCACACAATCACAAGCTAAATGTCAGGGCACCTTAACTTACCTTTTAGTTTTCAGTAAAGCTCCCAGCCCTTCCCTGTATAAAAATAGGCTCAAAAGTATTGATTTGCTGGGTTTGAAAAATTTGTCTGATTTTCCTAACAATCAAAGAGTATCCATAATTCTGGGCTTCATTTTTTGTGATCAGTGAAATTCATGATAATAGCTCCTTAGAAAAACCTGATATCAATTTGTTGCTGTGGATGGCACTATACCTCAGGCAGCTGCTGCTCCCATTGACGGCCTGCAGCTGAGTTGACTGCTCCATTGAGCAGACATTTTGACTTCTGGCCAGGAAGGGAAGCAGCTTAATAGCATGAGGGACAAGGAATAAAAGACTCCTATGTTTTGATCCTGGCTGTGATACTGAATCTCTTTGTGGCCTTTGTAAACTCATTTCACCACTTAACTGCTGGGATTTGTTCTCCTCTTGTAAAAAAGAAAATAAGTCATTCTATGTGCGGAGTGATAAATTAATGATTGCAAATGTTAAACTTGATCAGAATCTATTCCAGCAAATGGGGAGGGGGGTAGTTATACCTATATCCCCTTGACTTATTTAAACACTTGCCCTTTGCAAATGTTTTCAGATTGCAGGAAAATATGCACATGCAATCATCCTTTTTCCTGAAGCAGGAGGCATGTGATGAACTACGTGTATATCATATTGCATAAAATAACTGTTAACTTTATGCAGTCCTCACTGGAGCTAGTTCTCAAATAAGGTTTAACGTGGCCTCATGTATACTCAGAACTTGGTCACCTATTTTTCTTTGCTGTCAATACTGGAGCACTAATCTCTTCAGGAAGCTATATGGAATAGACATAATGTGCTTAGCAGCAAGCACTCTGACTTACTCCCTAATTGCCTACTCTACCTTACCTAACCTTACCCCTACACTTTAATATGCAAGTACACTTTCAGAGGTCTGGTTTAAATATGATGCCACTGTTCAATCTCAGTTTAGAAGCTGAGAACTATACACGGTGTGAAAATAGGCTTACAAGTCTACTATTTAGGATTTAATATTGGAATGCTTAAAAGAATATGCTAACATGATCTAAATCCACTGACTTAAAGGGAGTTACACCAGGCATAAACTAGTCCCACTCTTTTAGGGTACATCTACACAGCAACATTATTTTGAAATAATGTCAAAATACTGTCAAGTTGGAGGACTGCTTACTCTGACTCCTGTAACCCTCATTGTACGAGGAGTAAGGGAAGTGGGAGGAAGAGTTCTCTGTTTCAAATAAGAGCTGTGTAGATGCTCCCAATTTCAAAATAAGCTATTTTGAAATGGTTCAATTTGCATAGCTTATTTTGAATTAAACCCTGCTGTGTAGACACACTTAGAGTATGTCTACACTACAGCGTTATTTCGAAAATCTAATTTCAAAATAGTTATTTTGAAATATCTTATTTCGAAATAATGCGTCTACACACAGAATGCATTTTGAAATAGTGCGTCCACACTGATTCGACGGTAAAGCACATTTAAGGCCAGCCGGAACTGGTCTGGCAGGGCATCAGGTCAGAAATTACCTTGTGGCCAGGGTGGCCAGCAGGGCACCCTGGGAAGGGCTGGAGGCCCCCTATTTCAAAATAAGCATCTACATAGCGCTTATTTCGAAATAGCAATTTCGAAATTGGCACTATGCCTCATGGAATGAGGTTTACCAATTTCGAAATAAGCGCTCTGCTATTTCGAATTAATTTTTAAATAGCAGTTGGCTTGTGTAGATGCTAGGAAAGTTATTTTGAAATAACAGTTGTTATTTCAAAATAACTTTGCTGTGTAGACATACCCTCAGTGTGAAATAAGTCTTTATGCAGCTACCATAATAATTCAGAGTAAATCTTCTAACTACTTTTTATATTGTGGTTTGGGGGTGTTGTGGGTTTTTTTTGTATTTTTGAACATCAGTTTTTACTCTTGATGAATTTCAATCCTTCAGGGGAAGGATTTGTTAAGTATATACAGAATTCTTAACTGTGATGTTTTAATTAACATAGAATTGAATTGATTTGCTTTTTCATAATAACTTAGGACCATTTTGAACAGATCTTTTATTGATCTAAAGATTTTTATGTCTTTATTCAATAGTACTAGTATTAAAGGTATGTGTGTCTATAGGTAGAGAATAGTGATAGAAATGTAGCTGTGTTAGTCTGGTGTAGCTGAAACAAAATACAGGACTATGTAGCACTTTAAAGACTAACAAGATGGTTTATTAGATGATGAGCTTTCTTGGGCCAGGTAGATAATAGTTAACTGTGTAGTATTGCCATCTACTGTTCACTGGAAAATAGAACAGTCCCTGAGGCAGAAATGCTTGCATCACTCGTTCATGTGATTTCCGGTGACTAGCAGATCTGTGTAAAGATAAAGTTCAGCACAGAGAAGTTTTTCTTCTTTGCAGCTAGGCTTTTGGGGCGAGGGCAGCATAGATTAAACCAGGAAGTAAGTAGCAACTCTTCTGAAATAAAACGTATCTTTACATATTATTCAAAACAACAATTTGGTTTTCAAGAGAAAGTACATTGAATTTTGTTCCAAACATTGGAAAGTGTAAGATTATAGATACTGTTAAGGACAGTGCATTGTGAAAGTGAAAGTACAAAATGTTTGTTAATCGCCATCCAGGGCAGTAATCATACCAAGGAGCTTTACTTTGGTTTTTAAGAACTTGTCTCTTTAATGAAATAAAGTTCTATTTATTTTAAAAAGATGTTTCTTGGGTACATAGAAAGCAGACCATTTTTAAGACTTCCGGAATGCTTTTTTTTATACATTTTTTTTCCTTGATATTCTTTCAAAGGTCTTACCAAAATGGATCCGTTTTTGTCTCTGCTGCATTCGTTTTCCATGAACTTATCGGACACTGAGCTCTCTGCCCTTAAATTTCTGTGCCGGGACAAAATTGGCAAAAGGAAGCTTGAGTCTGTCAAAACTGGCAATGATCTCTTCACCATTCTCCTGGATCAACGGGAGATTGCAAGAGAAAAGGTAGATTTTCTCCAGGTCATGATCAAATCCATTAAAAGAGAAGATCTGCTCATGCAATTAGAGGAGTTCATGGAAGGGGGACACGGTGATGCTGTCAACCATCTAGATGAGAAAGAAAAATGTAAGTGGAGGCATCTTATTTTTATTTTGCAAACTAAAAGCATAGCACACTGCTAAATGGTATTTTTTAAAGCAAGGAACTCTTTAAATCTAATCTCAAACACTGTAGCACAGGAACACTTTGGAGCAGAGGTCCAAAAAAGAGACAGTTAATAATGTTTTAAATAGTTGGAAATAATTTTGTGATGAAATTCACCCCTCTTCAAAAGGACCATGCATTGTATGAGTCTCACTCACCCATAGCGAAGAGTCCAGAACTGGTACTATCCCTGACTCTAGACTGCCACATGGAATTCCACATAGTACCCGCTGCCCTGGTCATAAAGAGGGGAGTGAGAGAATGCATGCTGCAACCATTTTTTTTTTTTTTTTTTTTTGGTAACAGCAGCTCCCCTGGTACTCAGAGAACGTTTGTCACTGTGTGATGCCAAGCCCCTGAAAACTCCACCAGGTCTGAGGTGTTTCTACACTATCCTCAACGCACCCAGTGGCTTTACTGCCAACAATTGTGGTCCTTAATATGAATGTGGGCAAACCTCTACAGTAAGAGTTAATATAGAAATGTACATATTAAATGTCTCTGTATATCCCTCATCATAAACTGGATTTTGCCATTTTATTTTTCAGATCAGCAGAAAATAGCTTTTGAAGTTATATGTGACAACATTGGAAAGAACTGGAAAATGCTAATTCGAAAATTAGGAATTTCGGATACAAAAATTGACAGAATTCTAACAGCAAATCCTTATAACTTGCAAGAACAATTGATGCAGTCGCTCCGAGAGTGGCAGAAATGGAAAGGAAAGGAAGCTAAGGTTGCTGACTTAATAAAAGCCCTTCGGGATTGCAAAATGAACTTGGTAGCAGACAAAATTGAAGACGAACTTTTACAACCGCGGAACTAAAACAAAATGAAATTCAGTACAATATATTAAATGTAACATTAAAACCGAAAGCTTAAATGAAAACAGGAGGAATGCTGCCTAATTGTTAGACCAAAAGGCCATAGGGCATGTCTACACTAGAAAATTATTTCAAAATAACTAAAACTGATTTAATAATTCCTGAAAAAACAAAACCGAAATAACATGTCCACATGACTGGGAAGCCTCGAAATTAGTTTCAGGCAGGCTCTGATATTGTGGACACCCTACCTTGACTTAGAGCGCCAGGAAGCACTGGGGAGTAATTATTTCAAATTACTCTGGGGAGTAGTTATTTTGAAATAATCAACCACATTAATGCTATTTTGAAATAAGCATTATTCCCAAGGAAAGCAGGAATACAGATTTCTAAATAACCAGCCCATTATTTCAAAATAACAGGATTGGTAGTGTAGATGCTCCATTTACTATTTCCAAGTTAAGGGAGAGTTATTTTGAAATAGCTCCCTCGTATAGGCCAGGGCAAAGAGTTAGCAATTAGAGACACAGTGCAAGATTTTTTAAAAATTATGAGTTTGGGTCTTTAATTTTGAGGTTTTCAATCTGAGACAATTTAAAGGGTTTTGATATTTCGGAAAAAAGTGAGTGCCTGACTTACGAAACTCCTTGTCTTTTATCAAGTTGGGCACCTAAAATCATTAGTATCTTATGAAAATTTTGACCTTAGCCTCTGATTTATAGATACTTAATTCTTGATGCCCACAGTCATATCTAAGCATTCAAGTGTGAAATTCTCTTTGCCTCTGTCATGTGCAAAATAGTAATACAGGCAGTCCCCGGGTTACGTACAAGATAGGGATCGTAGGTTTGTTCTTAAGTTGAATTTGTATGTAAGTCGGAACTGGCGTCCAGATTCAGCCGCTGTTGAAACTGACCAGCAGCGGCTGAATCGGACACGCCTGGGACAGAGCAGCTGGGGTGCTGCTGGGTTGGTCCCCACAGTGCTGAGGTGCAGCGACCTACCTGGCAGCCCCCCAGCTGCTCTGTCCCAGGCGTGTCCGATTCAGCCGCTGCTGGTCAGTTTCAACAGCGGCTGAATCTGGACGCCAGTTCCGACTTACATACAAATTCAACTTAAGAACAAACCTACGGTTCTCTGCAGCGAGAAAAGCTGCTCCGTGTCTCCCTGGTCTGCTGGGGGGAAGCACCCCCCATGCCGCCAGAGGTGGCGACAGGGGGAGGCACCCCGCACTAGCGGGGGCTCCCCCCAGTTCGTAACTAGGGGTCCGACTTAAGTCGGACTGACGTAACCCGGGGACTGCCTGTATTCCTAGGTGTGTGCTATACCTTCCTTGAAGTACTGTGAAGCTTAGTCACGTCATGCTCATAATTGTTTGTAGTACTTTGATATGATTCTTCTTCATAGGGGCAAAATATTATTCTGAAATGCACAAAAATTAAGAAATTCAAAGTTTCAGTTCCTTCAGTAGCCATAACTTGGCCCACTACCCTCATATGGCATTCTGTATGACTGCAGATGCTTTTAAATTTTTATCTTGAAATAGGTATGCAAGATAAAAATTTATCTTGGGGACCAGAATCTCACATTTCCTGGCTTCTGTTCATTTCCAAATATTTGAGGTGATTGAATAATTTTGTTTATCATTTTAAAAAACAAACCAAGTACTAGTCACACGTTGCCCTTACTGCTAAATCTTTAGAGGTCAGGAATGGTGTTCCCTATAAGCTGGGCACTTATGCAGCTGCTCAGGAGAGATTCCGATGCTGCCCACCTGGTTAGCAGGGTGCTCAGAGCTAGGTTTTGTTTCTAGTAGTGGTGCATGTTGGCAGTGTACATAACATTTTCATTCCACACATGAAAGGATTAGAGGAAACATTGGTCAAGAATATGTTCTGTGTCATGCATTGTGTGCTCCTTTTATATTAAAGATGTTAAGCACCATATAGAATTTGGCCTCAAGATTGCAGCACAAGGGGCCTTTCCTCAACTCAGCCATGCCTATTTTTCAGAATAAACTGCCTGAGACAAAAGGTTTATACTAAGTGTCTTTCCTGCCATAAAGAAAGGGATGCTGTCCTGATGTTGTAAAATATCCAGAAATGGCCTGTAGTTATGTAAGGGGCCTTCCTTCTTTCTTCTAGAATATGAAAGGTTCTCTCCCATTGTTGTTGTCCTCTAATTATGTTGCTCACACTCACTCCCAGAATTCAGAGCACTGACTTAGGGATGTTAAATATTGGTTAACTGAATAGTCAATTAACCTCATAAATTCTTACTGGGTAGTTGACTATACTATTACATCCCTACACTGACCACATTTGGATGAGGCACACCGTTTTCAATGGGGAAAGCAGAATTCAATTGTCTGTGCTCTTGGCAATATTGCATGTAAAGATTAAGAGATACAGAGTGAATAAACAGAAGCGTTTCTTATGGAGAAACAACATCACTAAAGGAAATATAATCCTATCTCCTACAGTTTATCCAGCCTGCTGTGAGGATGAGGAACAGCTTTTTCACTCCATGGTGCTCTAGTTGAAGGTGGCTCCAGCAGTGTTCCTTGTAAGCTAAGCGTGTTAGCTGCAGCCCAGGAGAGATTCAAATGCCACCCAGCTGATTAGTAGAGCACCCATAGTCTCTTGCAGTGAACAGCAAGTGTTTCTATTGGTGGTGGACACCTGCACATGCCTCGGTGCATATAACAAAATTTATTCTGCACATGGGTGGGAAAAAATAGAGGAAATATTGGGTTCCAGGACCAATGTTACTTCACTTGGAGAAAACTAAGTTTTTCTTCACCTCAGCTCTTTTATATCACTCCCTTTGAGGAGCCTATGAACAGCCCACAGTCAAAAAAGCATGGATGGACAAAATCAATTTAAAGTAACGTGGGGCCTCTTGCAAACTTAGTGCTTATACGAACTAACCCAAGAGACTGAAAACTGCACCTATTTTGTAACCTGCTTTCATGCTTCCGGTGTGTCTGATGCATAGTGTTAGCATCTTGCATGAGTTCCTCTGAAATCAATATTGATGTGACTTTGACTAGGACAACAGGTGGCCTCAGAAACATCCTACCAAGAATATAATATAAAATTCATATCTGAAGGGAGAAGCTTCACTTTGCTGCTGACCCTGTCTCGTTTTGTTTTGTGTAGCTGACAGCATGCTGCTCTTTGCAAGATAACTACATGGCAACATCAGGACATTCAGCACCGGTATGAAATTGACAAGAAGCCTGAAAAAGAATAGGAATGATGGTGTGCAAAAACAACACAAAGTTGTCCTGAGTGTCTCCAAATTTTCAATTCAGTTGAACTCTGAGCTTCAGATATTGACACGTTAATATTTGATTACAATTACTAGAAAGGTTGAAGTAATTTTTACCCAGTACCTTTATACAACATTGTCATATGGGCTTTTTTTTTCAGAAGCTGAACAATGAAAGATTGGCACAAAGTTATATATGATCATAATAAGCCAAAGGCTTAAGTGTAAATGTCTACGTAGAAAGGAGTAAAGAGTGATGCAGTAACTTCCACATATCTGCCTTTGTGCATATACAGTTTTAAATTAATAAAACAATAGCTTACTTTGCCTGTGTCTCATGCAGATTTTAGAAGAGTTTAGTTCTTAAGAAATAATGAATTTATAAACCCAAATTCTGAATTCAGAAATGTAGAGCCCTACGCGGATACAAAATGTTGTAGCCGCATCTGTGTTTGCAAAAATGAGCTGTGGTTATCTACATCTGCAGATGTGGATATCTTTGGCTCTAGACTTCAGAAAAGTTTAGTTCTTAAGAACTAAATAAACTCAAATTGTGAATTTGTTGCTGAATAAAATACTAATCTTGAGCTGAATAATTAATTCAACAAACTGTATTATGTTAAAATATCTATGGGTTGTTTTTTTTTCCATTATTCTTCCAGCTGTAAAAACAACACTATCTGTTTCAAATCCACATTCAGTTTTTTAAAATTATTTTGCTGGGTGAGCTATTATGTTTACAGAAAACACAATGTAATTTTGTAATGAAATAGCAAATGAAATAGCAAACCTGCTCTGCAACAGCTCAAAGTTCAATGTCCCCAAGCATTTTGTCCTTTTTACTTTCCCCTTTATTCCCAGAATAACACACTGTTTTTTGCATGACAGCAGAAATACATATATATTACAAAGATTACAAGTATATGTAATTAGCATATGTTGTTTTGAGAGCTAAACTGGAATAGTTTTTACCAGTCACTGAGTTTCATTGTTGAAGGGAACAGCTCCTGACCCAGACTATATTTAAAACTTAATCAGTTCAACAACTGGAACATAATACAGTATACAGTTTGTTGACCCATTTGTAAGGGAGGCGTTGGAAGATGCACCAGATAGACCATCTTTGAATTTCTATATGTATTGTTGAAATTGTAATGTAAAATTTTATACGAGAGAATGTTGTATGCACAAATGTTAATTTTTAAAACAACTTTCTTTTCATAAAAAAAGAGGTTGGTTTTTGTTTCGCTTGGAGAGGAAAAATTAAAAATGTACAGTTGTCAATAATATATATTCCTCTTTTGACAAAACATACTTATAAGAAATGGGAAATTATTGGAGCCTTCATTCAAAGTTTTTAATTTTTCTTGGCTCCCAGTGTAGAAAAATTGTCATTAAACATCAAAAATTCATCTTCTTATACAGTAATTCCTCATTTAACACGTGCCCGCTTAACACATTTTTGCGATAGCACGATTTTTTTTTAGGGAACGTTTTTTGAATTACACGACCGTCCCCGGAATAACACGATTTCCCCAGCTGGCCTGTTGACGGCAGCTGTGTGGGGCTTCCCCCGCTTCCCTGCAAAGCGGTGGCGGGTTTACCGCTCACCACACTGTTCCCCAACAACTCCCCCTCACCGGACGCAGTGCGTGTCCCGGCAGACCCGTCACGGGCATATTCCCAATCCAATCTGTACTTAAAATAAGGTGGAGGGTAGCAAAGGCACAGTGTGGTAAAGTTAGTTCTCATAAGTAACTTCTCATCTTTGCCCATACTCTTACTACTATTA